GAGAAATCGAGGGCAATCCTCAAATGTTATAGGTATTAACAATGTTTGTTTAGTTTCCTGTTTGAAGTTGGTTTGTTTTTTGTTAAAAAGTATAATTATTACTAAAAATGTTTTACTTGATAAATAGAAAAACGCCAGCATAATAATTACAAAAGTATCGGCAAAAAGTTGATTTATACTTTTGATATTGTCAAGTTGAGGTGTTTCATCAATCAAAAAGAAGCAATCAATCATCGTTTTTCAATCCACCGAAGCTAAGAACGAAGTAAAGGGCTAACACGCATTACACTGCGATTCTTTGTACAAATTACTCTTCATACAATATTAATACCGAATGAAATGAGTCTAAAAGTATTTTGGACTTTCAGCCGACTTTCGCATGCTGCAGTACCATGGACCACTATGAGCCAATAATTTTCTAGGAAGTGATCGGGACGTAGCCGTTAAAGTTAAGCCTTCCAATCCGAACGCCCACGACTCCTGAGTTTTCACTTTCTGGTTAAAACCATTTATATTTGAAGGGCGCTGTTGAGGTGCCCGTGCATCTCATTAATCCACGAGAGGAAGGAAAGATATTGTGTCCTGGTCCTACAGTCTGGTTTATCCACCGAGGGCATAGTTTCCCATATGTCAAAGGCAAGTAAAGTTAATCACAACTTTGAAAAACCTATAAATCCGTAATTGTTAGAAACTTTTAATTTTAGTAGTATAGACTGATGCATACACGGTAAAAATGATTTAATCACTCATTCATCGATAGGTTTTGTCATTGATAGAATCTTATTAAATTTTATAAATCTCAATACAATATCGCAATTTAAAAAAAAGTTCCTTGAACCAGTATTATCGAATATGAAGTCTATAGTTCCATCGCATCCCGTCGCAAAAGACCTCGAGGTAGAGCCCCGACGCGCTGGATTGACCTCATCACCACCGAAAGCCACCACAGTACAATGTGCTCGCATTGCTAACAGCCGCCTCCAATGGAGGAACATCGCAAGACGAGCAGCTGCCTTGGAAGCGAACAGCGACGACGAGACCCAGTCCTGTCCATCGACAGCCACGAAAGCTCTGGCAAGAGTGTCCGATTAAGAATAGTTCCATCACATCGTGATCTTAGTAACACGCTGAAAAAACCGAGGCTATAAGGCCTAAAACCAGAAAATATTTTCATGGAAGATGTTTTAACTTAAGTAGTTGAAATCCACAAAAACTTAAGTGTAAACAATTTCAAACATTGTTTATAAACTATCCTAATGGAAAGGGCCTATTATGATGACGAAGAAAACATTGAGGACGAGGATGTGTAAAAATGACTCTTGTTCTCCTTTTCCAAGTCTCCAGGCTGCTGCTATATATAAGAAGACCGCAGAGTTTCTTGCCGGTTCTTTTCTAGACAGATCTAGTTTAGTCAAACGGTGGTACTTTTAGTAAAAGCATTATATAAATAGAGAAAACGTGTCTTGAAAATTTTACCAAAGTAATATTTTAGTACTATACATTACACTGAATACTCTAAACTTTGTATATGAATACTAAACCCTCTGTAAAATATAATTTTTTGATAATAATTTTTTAAAATATTCAACTTAAATTCAGTAATTTTTAAATCATCAAATTAATATCTAAATGTAACTAGAACCTAGTTACATTTAGGTATTAATTATAACCTTGATAGATGGATGCCCCACGAAAATAACGAGCATTGGGTAATTTGTTCTGTGAAAATTGTTCAGGATCTGGGTGTTTGTTTATTAAGGATTGTTGAAGTCAGGCAGGCGCGTTTTAATTAAAACCATAGCCAAAAACCCCCTACAGCATGATTCATATATTGTGCCGACCCCACCTAAGTGCGATGAGGGCAGGAGGATGATACACATGTTTTCAGGGAATGAAAAATATCTTTCAAATCCGACAGTAAATTTCGCCGCGAAAAAAAAATGTTATAATAGCTCGGTCGGTAATCGGGCGGCTCCAACACAGATAGTCGCGGTTCGTATCACGATCATTTACACATTTATTTTTTTTACTTTTCTCTATACCAGATCATTTCCTTTATTTTTTATTTTATTTATTTCCAAAATACATGATTTACCAAAAAAAAAACCGAGCAAACACAACCGGTCCTCCAGGTACGATATGGATAAACTAAATGCTTCTCATTGTTTATAAGAACATTACTATTTTTGTTTATATAATCTATCATTCATTCGTCTTTTTATAAAGAATTGGAACGTATTTATGTATTTTAACTAGCTGCTGCCCGCGACTACGTCTGCGTATGCTACGTAAGGCGTAACATGCAGACAGAAAGACATATACACATAAAAATATGTATATAAATTATAGCCTATGTCTTATACTGATGTATAAGCTATATTATTGTAAAGTTTCATTAAAATCCATTCAGTAGTATTTGCTTGAAAGAGTAACAAACTTCCATCCATACATACAAACTTTCGCGTTTATAATATTTTGACGGTGGTAGAGCCACGCAGCAGCCTCGGCTGTTGCACGAATGGGCAGGCTCGTCCGGGTAAGTACCACGACCTCACAGAAGACCAGCGTAAAGTGGAAGTATGACAAATACTTTCGCGTTTCGTTGGTGAGTGAGGTAGCCGGAGCCCAATTTTCAAAAAGGTTGTCAACGCATCTTCAAACCCTCGGGTGTAGCAGATGTCTATGGGCGGCGGTATTCACTTGACATCAGGTGAACCGTCTGCTCGTTTGGCAACTTTTCACATAAAAAAAAAAGAATAGTAAGGATAACTAAATGACTCACAATTGAAATGAACATTTTTTATATAAAATTTCCTAACAACGGGAAATTTTGGTGACCGTAACAGCACTCTGCGGAAGCACAATGTGCCCATGTTTATTTTGTTGAACTTTTAAATAAAGAGAAGTATGCACATTCCTTTCCTGTTTTATATATTTACTAGTGGACCCGACGGACTTTGTCATGCCTTAGATCCGATAACATAAATAAAGATAACATTTCGTAATGTAACGAATTGTGAATTTTTTTTAAGTGAAAAGTTGTCAAGCGAGCAGGCGGTTTAACTGACGTTAAGTGAATACCGCCCAAGGACATCTGCTACACCTGAGGATTTGCAGATGTGTTGACAACCTTTTTGAAAATCGGGCTCCGGCTACCTCACTCACTAGACGAAACGCGAAACTATTATACTTCCACTTCACGCCATTCTTCTGTAAGGTACTTAACCAAACGAGCCCTCCCATTCGTGCAACAGCTGAGGCTGCTGCTTGACCCTACCACAGTTAAAAAACAACAGAGATAAAAAATCTAAACCGTTCTATAATTCGTGTGTTCACTACACATACAATGGATTTCATCAAAAGCTGTTTAGGAAGAGTTCTGTCACATGCACAAGCACATAAGAAATTATATACTTACCTAAAACCCATACAGCGTTCTTGAAATCTCAGTACATGTTTTCCCTTTTTGGCATATTTTGTCCAATTTACAAATAAAGTGAACGCATTTCCGGGCGATCTGTTTTTTAGTAGAAGATCAATTTTGGTAGAAGATAATTTTAGTAGGCGTTATAAGTTTTTTTTTTTTTTTAAAACATTGCTACTTTGGGTTAACATTATCCTATGTTGTAAGGACGTTTTACAAACATAAATTTCAGGCGGACAAACACCCAGATGGGAAACAACTATCTGTGGTTCACACAAATAGTTGTCCCGAGTGGGAATCGAACCCACGACCCCCGACGCTGAAGCCTTAGCAACTGCGCCACGGAGTCAAATCATAAGCCCGGAATTAAATATCTAGGTAACTAATTCAATATTGCTGTTTAGATAAGATACGGTAATCATTTATTGTCTTAACTGTCTACAATTGGTGTTACATATTACATATTTTTTTCTAATCTAGAAGAATTTCTTTGAGAAGTAAGACGCAGGAAGGAAACCATTGTTTTAGAGTCTATCTAATTTCTTTATTTACAAGTACTCGTATCACTTATGAACTTTAATAGTGAACGGCTGTTAAAAGTTCAATACAGCACAGATCAAACAATCCAGATATTATAGAAGCACGATGTCTGCTAGATTGCGTAAGCCAGTCGTCTTTCATTACCGATTTAAAAAATATGTTATCAGCATTGCTAGATTTTAAAAAGTGGAACGATAAGTTTTTGTTGGATATTAAGGAAATGTATTTCTCCTGTATTATTTCAAAAATATTATAGTTTCAAAAATATTAGTTTGATACGTTTCAAACCAAGAAAGTTCCTTCATGAAATGGTGTAGTAATGGGAAATGTTTTTATTATAATTCGTGCATTAAGGCTTCAAAAATTTTTCCACAACGACCATAGTTATACGGTTTTTTATTAAGCACTATACAGCAATAGATCTAGTAACAAAAAACTTAATTGAATTGAATCGTCGTCGTATATTAAGTGATAACCGCCTCTTATGAATCTGTAACCACACGGGTCGACAAAACCTGGTTAATTCAGTCGCAAAAGGGAATGCAGAAAACAAAAAATTCCACTTAACGTTCCTCCGTTTTTCATAGTTCTCCATTCCCTTTTTCCGTGGTACTTCCCTACATAGTATAAAACAAAGTGGTCCCGCTATTTGTCTGTCCCTATGTATGCTTTGAGGTTTAAAACTACGCAACGGATCTTGATGCAGTTTTTTTACTAGGTTTAGTGATTCAAGAGGAAGGTTTATATGTATAATATATTGCAACCATGCGAAGCCGGGACGGGTTGCTGGTGTTCAATAAATCAATCACTTTAAACGTGTGGCTACAACGTTGACTATGCAATTTCATGGTTAATAAAAAGCAACAACATAAAATTACATAACAATATAAAGCTAAATTATACACAAATGAAAGAACGAGGTTAAAGAAACAATAATTTATTACTACTGTCCAAATAATAAATGGCTTATCATTAAGCCTTTACGCAATTTTTTACCCTATAACAATAAATTATTCCTACCCAATTACACTGTCTACTTCGCGGTTCTCAATTCAGTTTCGTATTTCTTAGTGTATTTGTGCGTGGGGTCGTACTTGGCGGTGATCTCGTCCCAGAATTCCTTTTCGTGGTTGATCAGGTGCCCGATGACTTTCCGGGTGCCCTTGCGCTGTGCGTCCGTGCATTTCGCACAATCATTCTCGACGGCCTCAGAAATGTGAGCTGTGTGAATCAAAGTCAAGAGTGAAGGTTTAAAAGACGTATGTCAACGCCCGCCAGCCACTTTAAATCTGTACGTTGATGTTACTAAGACAACAACAACAACAACAACTAGATAAGGAGAAATTGAATATTCGATAGTATAAATAGATGAAATACACATTTTGCACCGCAACTCCACGCATGTTAAAGTTGTAGCCCATTGTGTAATTCCATTATCAACTGAAGTCAACTAATTGGCATCAGTTGTATCTATTAGGACAAAAAACATTACATCGACACTGTAATTCACAGCGACGCTTTTTCTGTAACTAGAAAATGTCAAAAAACTTCGGAATATTATTCCAAGTTATTCAACTACATAGAAAGAGTGCTTTTATTAAAAATCTACATAATCCTTCAACAAACTAAAATATAAACAGAAAAAACATTTTAATAACGTTAGCAATAGTCTAGTTCACCTTGAGGTTCTGTGAAACAATAAAATATGTAATGTATTAATAAATCGGTGGAATATTTTTATTTAATATTCAGTTCATTTATAAGAATAGTTTGCCTTAAGAATACAATATTTTTATCACAAGCAATAGTGCTCAACTGCCGGATGGGACCTGACGATATTTGTCTTTTGTTTGGAAGGGGTCGGGTTGTAAGTCATATCGACCTCTGCGACCTAGAAGATCTATATTAAGGCCCATTTACACGGTGCCAGTTTCTTGCCTGTTGTATGCAATTAAATTGAAGCAATAAATAAGTTGCATGGTCTAAACAACAAATGGTCTAACCAATTTATTGCGCGCAATTTATTGCATTCAATTATTGCTCTTGCATGTACAAGAAAATGGCATCGTGTAAATGGGCCTTTAGACTACTCTTCAATAATATTGCCCCCTTATGTATGATTAAATTATCCTGGTTTGTACGGACGTTTTAAACAACTCGGATCGTCCACACAAATAGTTGGCTCGTGTGATTCGAACCCACGACCTCTGGTGCAGTCACCAAACCTGGCCAACTGCGTCACGGGGTCATCTACCACAGGTGGCTGGACCTTGTGTAATCGGTGATTATGTGTTTAGGAGAAAATTCGCAAACTTGGTTAAAGCTTATTCACTCCCGCATTAGAGACACATATTCGGACAGAAAAGCAGATATGGATTGTAGAACGTTAAAGCCAAACTCCGTGTTTCAATGCACCCGCATGGTAACAAGAACAATGGAGGCTAGGTGAGCGTGGAAGCGTACTCGTGTAATTTTTTACTTTTACCATGTTTTTATTAAGACGCTTTCTTGTATATCTGTCCGGGTAGAATTTTGTAATTGACTTTAAAATTCACTTCCCGATTAGCTAGATACTTGAAATTTAGACCATAATGGATGACATTGTATGAATATTTTGGAAAAAGAATAATAATAAAATAACAACGTAGTACATATAAAGACTGAAAGTATAAAAAAAAATCTCTAAACTTTTTTAGTTCATTATAAATCATGGTACATTATTTTATTTTATGTTATTGCAATGTTTTGCTTTTAATTTATTATTAATGGGCAAGGTATAAAATCAAGCGAGTTAAAAAAAAGAGAAGATTCTCGTTTTCTTTTGTAACCTCATTATCCCGCTTTGTTACGAACTAAACTAGCTTTCTTGTTGTCCCATATAAATTTATATTAGGGAACTCGTGGAAACCAAATAGAAAATGGGTTGTGAGTGAGACATTTGAAGTCGGTATGGCTGTCAAATATGTTCTTGTAATAATATTGTATGAATGTAAATTGCTCATAAATTTATTTACACAAGTTCTAAGTTAAATTGAATATGCCGAGACTCGTTGCGTTATAAGATGGTCGTATTTCCCAGTATTTTAGTTTGTAAACATTAGTTAATAATTAGTTATGTTTGCATTATACATGATATTAATAAATATTTTTTGATCAATAAAATAATAAAACAATAAATTTAATCATTAATAAAAAAAATCAATAAAATAAATCTCAAAGTTGCCTGTCAATTAGCTATTGTCAAAATAAATGAAAATTAGAAAAGAAATCATCGACATCTACGTACATGTATTTCAACAAACTTTTTCGTATTTTTCTACTATTTCGTAGGGTAAAATGGAAGTGTCTATACATGAATGTAACAAATTTCATAGGCATACTTTCAAGCATTTGCAATTTTCCACTCTTATTAAGAATCGAAAGTATCCAAAAATATAAGATACTAGCTGGCTGACAAGCTTTGTTTGCCATATAAATTATTTATTGAAAAATAATTTTCGTAACGCACCCATAAAATGTTTGACAGGTAGAAACAGTTTGTATGGGAAAATAAAATTGTTGCCATTTCGAAGTGTTTTAAAACTTGGCTCAACTTATTCATCTCATCTAACATCTATTAAAACAAACGCGATAAAAAAAGCTTCAGTACCTTTTTTATTTTAAATTTACTTTATTTAGGAAAATAAGTTATTTTTCTATAATTTCCTTTAAGTTGTCAAAATAGTATTTTTTCAATATTTAAACTTACTTTTGTTAAACACTAAGCACATGTCTTAATCAGTCTAGCTTTCTTATAAATCGTCTTCTCCTTAGTCCAGAGAGGTTCATTGTATACCATTTTAGAGACAATTAGTTCCTTTTAAATCAATGCAAATTATTTACCAAATGATTTCTGATTTCAAAAATAAGTTACAATTATATTAAGTATACAATTTCGTAATACAAAACAAATGCGTGTGCTTATGTGAGCACGCAAGAAGTTATACGGTTTATTTAAATAGCTTGAAATTATTGGTAAATGTCAAAAAGTTGTTATTGGTTGCCACTGTAACGCCGTAAAGTTGATTGCTTCTCACCAACTTCACGATATTTACATGGCAACATTTATCATGTCGCCTTTTGAGGTTCGAAGTGCGCGCGCATCTAAAACATTTTTCTCTCATAATTTTTTTCCAAACGCGCTTAAAGAAAGTATAACTTCAAAAAGTTTGGAAAATTCAAAAACCTTATATCACTCATTTAATTTTTAAGAAAAAGAAGTCATACCATTGATTTATATATTATTTTTGTTAGGAATGGCATCTTCTAGTGTGGAGTTACTTTCTAAAAAAAATCTTAGGCGACGTCGTTTTCACGTAATGAGAAATGAAATATATTTTGTAATAAAGTGTGAATAGTGAACTTTTTTCGGGATTCATCTCGACCTCCTTCCTCTTTAAAAAAAAAATCCGGAATTCCACGCAATTTTTTTCAAAAAGTTTTGTTTTATATAGCAAAATAAAATTGTTTTTTTACGGAATATGAGATAGATATTTTAAACTGTTTTCTTGAAAAACATCAAATTATCGTACAAGAACCAATTGGTTCTGTTAGAAGCATTTTAAGAAAAAATAATTGCTTGACTTTGACGTGTCGAAAGTAGAACACCACCTCAACCGCTTGGCATTATGAGGAGTGCAATATACAAAATTATTGTAAAATTTAATAATTGGTTAAAGAATTACAAGACTTACATTTGAGCTCCTTCCCATCTGCTGTGCACTTCCCTTTGTCGAGAATGCAGTTTAGGTATGGAACCAACAAACGACGGTTGGCGATGATTTCGTCGAGGTTAACGTTATCGTAGCGGTCAGTGTAGGTTTCCGAGGGAAGGGCTGACACGAAGGCCACCACCGCAAATAAACATAATACCATGAAACTCTTCATTCTGAAATAATAATGATGTATACCATTAATAATGTTGATTAAAGGGCTGCTCTATCACCGATCTAATTACAAAGCAATTTGTTATAAATATACTCTCCCTTTCTCTCTCTGTAATAGAAGTTTCTGAACTTAGTTTCGTACTATTTTAAACTACACATATTAATTCCGATCAAAACACTAATAATACTCTTAAAATATGTACCAAAATATACAACGTTATAAAACAAAAAGTATTAATTAGATGAAATTTCTAATATTTAACATAGGTATTTGGAATTTTATTTATGTACTTGAAAAATAAAATACCTACTTTCGATATAGGTCCTACAAATGAAGTAACCGTATCACACGCTTCACGAAAGCAAACTTACTTCGATTGTCATACTCGAGCACGTTTTATACTGAATTAACCTGACACTTTTGGACATCTGTATAACGAGTTGTTTTTTTTTTTGAACAGTGGGGATGAAGTCAAGTGTTCTGAGAAAAAAATCAATTAACATTCACGTACTACAATGGCTAACTTCATTAACGTCACAAAGGTTTTTTGTTGCCTTTTTTATAAGTCTATAATGCTAATAAAACTTACTAATACAAGAGTTTCGTGAATTGCAGGAAATTATTTAGTGATACTGAATGTTGAGAATATTTCTCATATAGTACATACCTACATATTTATAGTTAACATTAGTGAATACCTCAAGAGTTCATAAATTGAGACATGTTTTTTTATTTTCTTCATATGGAGCTTATGAAGTTCCAAAACGTGACGCTCAAGCCTGTCTCCTGCATGTCCACCTGGAACATAGTCTGGAGTTTTTGATCCAAAAATTGGTTCATTTTTAAATACGACCTCAGTGGTTGCGAGTAGAGTTACACTCACATTAATAATTAAGATATCATGTAAATAGTAGTTATAATTTAAAGTGAAAAATAACACTGACTGCCAATGGCGAGTAAATACTGTATAAAATTTCTTGTTGTCTCTTAAAACCACGTAGTAATTTCTACTTTTGCACTCACAGAAGACCGGTGGGTATATACTTCTGCGTTTCGTGTTAGAATGAATAAGAGTAAAATTAAAAAAAGGCGGAAAACATATAAATTTTAAAAACTCATCCTTATTATTTTTTAACAACACAGCCCGTTCATTCGATTAAAAAATTCATTAATTTTAAATACGCTCCAATCTTAGCACAAGTAGGTACTAACATAAGCTTTACGTAAGCTTATAATAAATTATTTTTAAGGTTCCTTACCCAAAGGGTAAAACGAGACCCTATTACTAAGTCTTCGCTGTCTGTCTGTCTGTCTGACTGTCTGTCTTTCTGTCCCTCTGTCACCAGGCTGTATCTCATGAACCGTGATAATTAGACAATTGTCATTTTCACAGATGGTGTATTTCTGTAGCCGCTACAACAACAAATATGTACTAAATTATGGGGCTCCCGTACCACAGAAACAAGAGAACAATGGCCGGTTTTTTATATGAAAATATTAAATGAAAAATGAAAATATTGTTTGATTATGACTAATAATGAAAATTCATGCCACTACTGGACAAAAGCATCCCTCCCTTTCACTCTGCTTAATCCTGTGACGTCAAAGGCCATTTCTTCAAATACGGGTCAAGTTCGCCCCATCTAATTATGTCATGCAATTCAAGTAAAAGGTAAACGAAACACCTCTGTTATTCAACAACTCGATAAACCTAACCCCAAAAACTGAAATTAAGATTTACGAATCTGTATTAAATATGCATACAGATATGACACAAACGTACGCACGTGAGAAGTTATACTTCTTTTTTTTTGTGAAAATTTGACAAACGAGCAGGCGGTTCACCTGATGGTAAGTGAATACCGCCGCCCATGGACATCTGCTACACCCGAGGGTTACAGATGCGTTGACAACCTTTTGAAAATTGGGCGCGTTGACGTCTTTGGCGTAGCAAAAGAATAATAACAAAAAAAATTATCCCCTGTGCTCTTTGGCCTACTGGTACTCTTTGTAGGTGGAAAAGACATTACATGCAAATGATAACGGTTTAATTAAATAACTTGGAATTATAGGTTAATTTGAAAAACTTTTTATTGTTTGCCACGCTAATACTGTGAAGTTGGACGATTTGCAAGCAACTTCATCATGTCGCTTTTCGGCTGTTGGTGTGTGCACGTGCATCGTTAAAAATGTTACTCTCATAATTTTTCCAAACTCGTCAAAACCTTGCCATTACGTTTTTCTTAATATTTAGGAATAAAGAAAACTAATACAACCCTAATCTCTCGGTACACATAACAAAATTATTTTTATTTGTTTGACAATTACTCTCATACACCTAGCCTCGAGCATTTTTATTCTCGGAATAATATATTCCACGTTGTTTATACAGTAACCTATAAATAATTCAATAAGTAAAGACAAGAATTAATCGAGGAATCAATTATGAAAATTAGTTCAAGCTAATTCGGCATGATTTTCAACTCTTGCAACATGGCTATACAAAATCTTGCAACACATAAAACCGTATGACACCGTGGCGCATTTGCCAAGGTATTGACTTCGGCGTCGGGGGTCGTGGGTTCGATTCCCACACGGGTCAACTATTTGTGCGACCCACAGATACCTGTTTAGCTTCTGGGTGTTTGTCCGCGTGAAATTCATGTTTGTAAAAAGTTCTTATAACACAGGATAATGTTATCCTAAAGTAAGGGCAACGGTAAAAAAAATGTATAAAAATTATCCTGCAATTTATGTAAGTAGGTTAGAAAATCAATATTAATTCTCTGGAAAAGCCATAATATGTGTCATTATTTAAGAAAAAAATTGTCAAAGTAGGAGAGCAAAAGCAACTCGAAAACAGCTAAGTGGTATTGTGCCTACTAGATTTTAAGATTATTTTTAATCGTTTTTAGTTATTTCAGGGTATATAATATAGAAAAAAAAGCAATGTAGGTAGATTGTCCCATCAAAGTCAAGCCGTATTCGATGATTTTCTCGTATTCGATGATTTTAGCGTTGAGAAAACGTATATTTTTCTATGTTTGAGTAAAGACATTTTTTTTAAATAATAAATGTTTGTTGAAGTGATCTTACATTAACATATTTTTTTTACTTTGAATCCCATTTCGTAATACAGAATATCGGCTGCTATTGGCTCCAATGCAACAAAAAGCAAGTATAACGTGACTACTCACTACTCAGTGCCCGCTCGCTCTTAGTTCATTACACTCGATCGTGTTCTAACCCCGTTGCCGGCACCAATGAAATTGTTATTAGCAATTTTGAGACCTTTTGATGAATAAATCATCACGAGGAAAGTGGTATATTTTCCAAATGTATTATATTACTAAAAAAAAAAAACAATATTTCGTAGACATGTGATGTCTGCCATCCACGGTTGGATCGTGATGAACACTTTTTTTATGCTAGTAGATGGCAAACAAGCTGCTGGTTCACATTTTAATCACTGGTGGTGGAAATTTGCTGGCTCAACATTTTAATCACTGGTGGTGGAAATTCGCAACACCACTTGAAAAAAAATAAAGTCCGTGTCGGCGCCTTTACTTTCGTAATATTATTCCAAACGCGCCAAAAGAAATATAACTTCAAAAATGATTGACAAATCAGGTTTATGTTAAATTCATGAATTTAGTATTTTTAGGTAAAATTAATATTTAGCTCATAATTGGTAAATCTTAGTAACAATAATTTAGTTAATTAATGCATCTTATGATCTTTTTACATGAAAAGCGCATGTTATCAACGTTAGGTGTATGTATACCTAGCGTTGATAACATGCGCTTTTTATTCTCATTGTGCTTAGATATATGTATTATATCGAAGAACATCTGGCAGTACTTTCATTCCGAGACTCATCGCCTTCTATCTTGTATACTATAATAAAAATGTCTGTCTAATAAACTGATCGTTGTGTGTACATGGAAGATATTTGAGAAAAATATTTTTGTGAGCCTTTATCAACGCAATAGAACCCAAAACAATGATTTTTAAAATTTTTGTCATTTGTCTGTTTGTCTGTGCGATTGTGCGCGCTAATCTCAGAAACGGCTTTGGGTGCAACTTTCACTAATGCATATTAGTAAGTTACTTAACATTTAATGTGAGTTTTATTTAAATCGGTTCAAAAATTAAAAGTTATATCTACTTAAAGGACCACATTGAAGATTTGTGCGATAGAATGCTATAGAAAAGCTACAGTTGAATTGGATGAAACTTTAGTTAACTATATATTATGCTCTGTAAAATCATGATTGTTAGTATATATAAAGTTAAAAAAAACCGACCAAGTGCGAGTCGGACTCATGCAAGAAGGTGCGGCGGAGAGTCGAAATGCGCCCCCAACAATATTTCCGCCATTGCGTGGCGGGTCTTTCTCGGCCCATTGGGTAGATTAAAATATAACTTTTCGAAAACTTGTTGTATACAACTTTTAGAATGAACATGAACTCAACTTCCCTAGGAAGTGAGCCAGAATCTGGAAAAGCGGCGGGCCCATATTTTAAGCTCGATAAAATGAAGTACATGCGGACGGAGCCGCGGGCGAAAATCTAGTTTCAAGTAAATGCTTCTTATTTTTCTTAAGTCTTTATTTCTTATGTGGTTCTTCTCTTTCTTTTATGAACAATTTAATATAACCTTTAACGGAAATAATTACTCTAAAAAAATAGTGATTTAGATTTTAATATCAGATAAATGGTTAAAAATATTCAGAAGCCAAGGATTATAATACAAACCAGATAAATAAAACAATTCATTAACACTCAAGGTTGTATTTTAAAGTTTAACCTTAAGCTAAAAAAGTGTTTGAAACTGCTAACAGAGTCGCTCAACAATTTATACTTAACATATAATAAATTATTAAACTGTTCAACAGTAATGCAGTGCAATTTATAATGAAATTGCATTTCTCGTTGCTTTTATTTGCTATGATGTGCTGTTGCCTAAGCCGACACAGACCGTAACTCCTTCTCGTATTTTAGGGCAAACTTGTGAGTGGGATCATACTTTTCGGATAACTGACGCCAGTAATCGGGTTCTTGATTTATAAGGTGCCCTATTACTTGATTTGTGCCTCTTCTTTGAGCTGCAGTGCATTTAGCACAATCGTTCTCCATGGCTTCTCTAATATGAGCTGTAACAATTTAATAATTTAATAATCTAAAAAACCCAACGATACGAAAATATTTTTGAAGATTAATACATTTTGGTTTAAAAAGTCCGCCATATTGATTTTATAATTTTAATATACCAATACCAAGTGACAGTTGCGCAAGAAAATGACGAGCCTAGCGACATATAAAATTCATCAAAATCGGTTCAGCAATGTAGAAGTTATATTTATGAACTTTGTGCGAATCAATAATATACGGATGTGAAATTAAATCGCTTAAAGTTCCAAAATGGTACAAATAAATAAGGGCAGATGGTCCTTAATCTAACTATTACACTTAAATAAATAAGTACTAAATAAAGCCAGAAAAAACTCGTGATTCGATGTGAGTTTGTGATTCTTCTTTGATGTGAGTTTTGTTTGCTTGGAAAAATTCCAGATATTAATGAAATGTCATTAAAATTATTTACAAAATTATAGTCAGAGAAAGTTAAAAAAACAAAAACGTTTTAAGATTGAACGTTCTTCGTAATTGCTAATTGTTAAGTTATTAAATCCTATCACGCGCAATGCGAAATTTAATTAAGAGAGAAAGCTTGATTTGGAAATTGATTCTATTCAATTTAACTAATTTCCTTTACAATAATAGACGAAGAGTATCTTAGTTCCTTAAATAAATGAATATAATCCAATAACTATGACAGATGTTACACATTGAAACAAATTTTACTACATTATATATATATACATCATTTAAGTAAAAAAGATGTGCTAATTCGATACACAAAATTGTAATTCTTTCATAAAAGCCACAGCAGGGAAAAAAATGATTACAACCATAAAGGCTGTTTGTACCTTGCAATGGTTAAATAAGTTTCTTCGAACAGGTCACTAATAAAATAGCTTCATGCAGTATCAACATATCTGTTCCGTTTTGTTTGGTAAAGTATTTTCAACAAAGGATATCAGGTAGAAGCAGAAGGTCGTAAAATCACTTAAAAGGCTCACTATACTACTTACATTTGAGTTCATTGCCTTCAGGAGTGCACTTGCCCTTCTCAAGCAAGCAATTTACGTAAGGAATCAGCAGACGTCGGTTGGAGAGGATCTCGTCTAAGTTGATTGAATCATAACGATCGGTGTACAAATTCTCAGAACTTGGGCTTGACAAAGCAAGAGTGGCCACGAAACACAAAATCGTAACGCCCTTCATACTGTAATTTTGAACATTAATTACTTTTATATCAAATTTTGTAGAAAAATTACGAAAAGATTGTCGCCGCTGGGGGAATCTAACCCACGTCTACGGCATTCGCGGCCTGACGTTTTAGCCAATAAGCTAAACGACTGATTGCCACACTGGCGGAAATCTAAACGTCTTTAAAAACTTAAATATAAATAAAACGTAAAAATTTAAATTTCTTAAAAGCAATGGTGACATCTCTCGGTCGAATTATCGTTGTAAAACGATATTCGAAATTGTTTGTATGCTGGAAAGGATATAACAATCCAAGCATTGCTCCAAATGCTAAAAAAACAATGTAGATAAAATACGTTAACATTTTCGTCGGTATGGCAATTAGCCGTTTAGCTTAGTGGCTAAAGCGTCAGGCCGCGAACACCAAAGACGTGGGTTAGATTCCCCCAGCGGCGACAATCTTTTCGTAATTTTTCTACAAATTTTAATGTTTAATCTTATGTGCAGAGATTAGTACTATTAAAATTTAAATTACTATCATTGTACAGAGTATGTCATTTCTAATAACATTTTAATATTTTTTCATTGCATATATACATGTCATAAATTAATTATATAAATATTTTATTAATATATTTCATCATAAGTATACGAAGTTATATTTTAAAACCAATAAAATGCTGTTTTCATGCTAAGAACGATTATTGCTAATAATTGATACGGTATAAACAGTATTATATAGTTACACGTTACATATGTATACATATATTTACCTTCAAATCTGTGATACGCAACTTACTTGAATATAAGTCTACGAATGACTGACTGACTTTTTATACTACAGCTCACATATCGCTTTTGGGCGACATGAAAACCAGTTTTGGTCATAGATGTATTTGTGCAAACCGATTCGTCACTATTGCTGTTAATTGGTCTCAAACGTTGCGAATGGCCTCTTCAGACTTTATGACAGATACCTGTTAAAATTTTTGTAGGTTGCCGTACAAAAACGGCAATTGAAATTTAATACTATTTCCAAGACCTTAAGGTACATCCTCCTAATATATTCTACGAACGCTCTAGCAAATAACAATTTCTTGTGAATCTAACATTATCTTTACTTTGTTCAATAGATGAGATCAGTATTGTCACTTTTGAAGATAAAGGAAAAACCTAGCACATACTTACATCTGTGCAAACAGCCAATGTAAATATCCATGCACAATACATAAGCACTGATTCCTTCTTAAATACATATGCATATCTAAGTGTTCTCATATATGAAATGGAACAGCATAAAATTTTATTAGAATAATTATTGAAAATTAAGGCTCACTGGTGCAGTTGCTAAACCATTGGCTTCGGCGCCATGATTCATGGATTTTATTCCCACATGGAACAGGTGGTTGGCAATTTATACGTTTTTACAAAATCAGGAAGGTTTGTGGATTTTAGATTTTTTTTATTTGTGGCTATTAGAGTATTTTTTTTAATATGAGAAAGGGGCAAACGAGCTAGCGGTTCACCTGATGTTAAGTGATAACCGCCGCCATGAGGACGATCAACATGAGACGATCAACACACGACGTGAGACCTGGCTATAAGTTGTAAAACTAGCAACCCGCCCTGGCTTTCCACGGTTGCAATGAGGATACTAAATATATTCTACTATACTATGCATGTATTATACATGTAAATCTTCCTCCTGAATCACTCTAAACGAAATGATTGGTAGTGGTTAAACCTGCGCTTGCTCTTGCACCAGAGGGTGTGGGTTCGATCCCCACTACTGAAAAAATATTGTGTGAAAATTTTTTTCCAGTGTCTGTGTGTTTATATATGTATTTTTGCTTATATACATTTTTTTAAAAAGAAACGTATGTTTCAGTATTTTTATCAGTACCCTTTTAACAGTTACCCATAGTACGCTTCTTCTAATTGGAGACTAAAAGCGTAAAAATGTGTCCTAAAACATTTATAAAAAAAAATCTTATACCATTTAACTGTGGTAATGCCACGCATGGTCTTCTCTATGTCAGTCCGTTCGGGTAAGTACCACGATCTGACAAAAGATCGACATGAAGTGTTATACTTCTGCGTTTAGGCTGGTGAGTGACGTAGCCGGGGTCCACCTTAGTAAGAGGTGGCAAAGCATCTTCAACCCTACAGGTATTGCAAATATCAATCGATGGCGGATATCACTTATCTGGTGGACCACCAGCTCATTTGCCAATTTATCACATAAAAAAAACATTACCTTTGGATTTGTTCCCAAATTAATTTAGCGTAAAAGGTTGGAGCATCTTCAAGTCCCCAAAAAAAGTGGTGACCTCCGAATCAAGTCAAATTTTTCAAACCAGGTATTGTTATGCGCAGTACTCGGACTTGCCATTTCATATTTTCGTTTATTAACTGCTTGAACTATAAAGGGTATGAAAAAACTTGTTGGCATACGTATTCGGAAAAATAGTGGAAGTGTCTTGTTTACGACCGGCAATAATTAAACGCAAATTACCAAGTACCTGACCTTTGACGCTGATGAGGCAAGGGCGTCGCTCTACATTATACTCATGTTCCTCACAGGCAACTTAGCACAAGGCTGTATAAAAATGAAACATTCAAAAATGGAACTTATTTCTATGACCTGTAAAATTAAATTCGTGAGTCATCATTCTTTGTGATACAAGCACAAACAAAATTATAAATTATTCAAGTTGTCGACTATTCCTTAGAAATGTCACATTGCATATTGCGGTTTTTCCTCAACGGAATTATTTTTCCATGTTGCTCAATACTAGCAACACTATAGCTACAAGTTGTATTAATAGCATGAAAATAAAAACAAACTGCTCTGATTAATGTCTGAACCGGTTTTGTTTGTTGTTATTCAGTCTGAAATGTGTCACTTTGAATAAGTAGCCTAGATAATTCAATGCATTTACGTCAGAGAAGCAGAAGTAAACCCAGATTAGTTAAACACAACGGAAATATTACACTCCTTTGTATAGAAAAAAACATGTATTAATTTAATATGAATATGTAGTATAGTGCCTTTATAATTCGAACCATCATATACTATATTTTTAAAGGAGCTTTTTCACACCTTTAAAACTTTATTGCAATTAACGACTGAGACATGATTTTAAACAGAATGCTCAGGGCTTATGAGGAAACATAACCAAATAGATTAAAATTATTGTTTTCTTTAAAAAAGTACTTTAAAGCAAAAAAAAATGTGGACTCCATCTATTGACAATTCATTATTCATCACAAATTCAGTGTTATTTATGTTTGTGTTGAATAATTAATAATTAAATTAAATCTTGATCACATAGAAGAAAACATTTATTTTATGTGAAAGTTAGCAAGCAAGCGTTCACCGTTAAGGGATTACTGCATAATTATCTTAAATATGTACTGACGGATTGTAGATGCGTCGCTAATCAGATGAAACCTGAAAGTATGCCGGCTTTCTGTGTGGCCGGTCTACTTTCACGGTCATTCCATTCGTGCAATCTACAATCTCGCGCTGAATACCAAAAGAACCAAATGCCACAATCCCGCCTAAAACTGTAGCATTAAAAACTACGGCGAAATAGTTTGTCACGCACGCTGCAGCTGTTTAGTTAATCTGTGAACATTATATCGCGTGACGAGATTTATCAGTGTTCGATGAAATTAATTCTCGTCGTCTTGTGTCGTTCCTACCTATAAAAATGGACATGGACTCAAAAAGAAACAGGACGAGAACACATTTCAAATAGTATAAGTAATGCATTGAGATATCTGCGTATTATTTAATTAAATATTCAATTTGTAATTGTCATAGAAACCTATGCGTCCATGTTGTCGGTGCTGCCAATGTAAAACTGATTACCGGGATTTTTATCGCTTGTATAGTAGTAGTATTAAATTAGTATAGTAGCTAGTATTAAATTAAATAATATTGAGACAGGCAGGTATTTAAAAAAGAAATTTTATACGAATAAAAATCCAATCAATTCGTATGTATATGCCGGTTTTCAGAATTATAGAACAATTAAAGAAAGAAAGAGATTTCTTTGGCACAAAACAGACTGTGGTAAATACCTAACACTAATTTTCAAAAATAAAATAAAAATAGAAATTTAATTATAAACCTCCAATTATATATATATCCAATATTTCAATATATATAACTTTACTTTTGAATAATTATGCGCCGTGGCTGATGCCACAAATGACAATACTCAGCAGAATGTTGCAGTGAAAACTACAACGCTGAGTTTCAATGATGACCAAAGAATTCAGTAATAAAATCCCGAGTCCAAAAGAAAAAACGGGACCAATACATTGATCAAAAAAGAGAGTTTAAGGAAAAAAAATTATAATAAAGTAAAAAAAATTAAAAATGGGGAAGTCTAATAGGATCGAAATTGCATCCAGGTGCGTCAGGCAAGTGCTTACTTCCCAATTTATAAATTTTGTTTTTATTTATGCTTATTATATGAAAGTCATCTAGAAATAAGGTTGTATAATTTATCAAAATGTAAATTTTGTCAATGATTTCAAAAAAGATATTTTTCAAAAACCTTACTTAGAAAAAACGATATTAAATGTTTTATATCTAAACTATGTTTTATTTAAAGAACTTTTATATCTTGAGATTATCAGGTACATACATAGATATAAAACAAAAAAAAATTAAATTGTTTCAACGTGCTCATTTACCTCAAAACGGGCTATATTTTCTGAACTGGCCATATTACGCGGGTGGGAGGGACGCGGTTCGCTTGTTTTGTTTATGGGCAAAGCCTGCAGCTTGCAAAAACACGCCGAGGTTCAGGCTATCGCCTCGAGCGCCCGGCCACTCATGCCCGTCGGATTGTAAAGGCCCTGTATTTTTTGGCTCATCCAGCCAAAAAAAAAGCTTGCAAATACGACTGAGCGCCTCTTTTATATGGAGAAGCGTTAGTCCCCATTGATTCGACTGTATTTTTTTGCATACCTATATATACCAAATTGCAATGAGGCGCCAATAACAAATTGGCGAGTAAACTTAGCTCGGCACCATTCGCGATTAAAAAAAATAATATCTTGTATCTTGTACAAATGATGTTTTTGCTTTCAGTCCCGAGACTATTTAAGCTTGAGACTAGCCAAAACCTACGGGTTTGGGCCCCCGCTGGGGCCGCGCATGTACTCATGGGTGCGTACTATGACTATGTAATTAGCTAAACGGCGGCTTGGGGCGGTGAGAACCGGCGGTGGAACGCGGGTGTGTTGTGTAAAAAAATAAAACAGTGGACTGATATGGATACAGCTCGATTAGTATACCGTATTTAAGTTATTTACACAGTATAATGTCTGATGGCATTCTACATTTGAGAATTGCGAGCGTCATAAACACTGTTTTCATCCTATAAAAGTGGGCAATTCGAGCAGTTTATAACCCGGGCGGCCCCAAAGAATCACTTAAAAAATGTTATCAAGGAAATAAAAATACTGTTGCTTCTCAATCAGTATTTACTTGAAAATGTTATGTACGTCCCTAAAAATAAGAATAAATTTTTAAGATTTAATTATGCACTCGCCAATCCGCAGTGGGGCCGCGTGGTGGACTATGCCCTTTTTTTTAGTATCGGGGTGAAATCTTCGAAAGATACCCTGTCACTTTATATGACAGGGTTATGTGGGGTTCTTACCCACTAAAACCCCCTCGGTGGCCGCCTTCCGTACATTTGGAGAGACTCCGAAAATCGAAAATCTTAACGCCTTCTTTCTACATTGTTACAGGCATTCGCTACAGGCCGTGAATGCCGAAGACGTGGGTTCGATTCCCACAGCGGCGACAATCTTTTCGTACTTTTTCTACATGTTTTAATGTTCAATCTTAAGTGCAGAGATTAGCACTATAAAAACTTTAAAATTTATAAAAAGCAATAGCGACATCTCTCGTTCGAATTATCGTTGTAAAACGATATTTGAAATTGTTTGTATGCTGGAAAGAATATAACAATAGATGCGCCCCAAGCATTGCTTCATATGCTAAATAACAATGTAGAAAGAAGGCATTAAGATATTCGTCGCTGTGGCTATCAGCCGTTTAGCTCAGTGGCTAGAGCGTCAGGCCGCGAATGCCGAAGACGTGGGTTCGATTCCCACAGCGGCGACAATCTTTTCGTACTTTTTCTACATGTTTTAATGTTCAATCTTAAGTGCAGAGATTAGCACTATAAAAAACTTTAAAATTTGTACTATGGGTGCTAGAAAACTGATAAACGTACTTAAACATACTTTTATTTTGTAAATAAATACATATTATTCATATATAAACACCCAGACATTGAAAAACCACTATGTTCAGAACTCAATATTTTTCCAGTAGTGGGAATCAAACCCACACCCTCTGGCAGGAGGCAGGTTCACTGCTCCCCACGCCAATCGGGTCGTCAAAAGAGAAACATATAGAGCATTTTTTTTAATACGAAGATCCAGGCCGAAAAGTATAAGATTCTAGTGGCTATGAAATATGCTGAACCCACTGAATTAAATGTAAGCACGAGATACTAATCTATCGCCTAAAGAAAAATGTGTGTCTGCTTTTATCTTGATGATAAATCAGCTATGCTATCTAGCTGATAGACAACATGCATATGACACAGTAGATTCCAGATTTAGATAGCTTAATAATTAAGATGAAATGGAAAGTTATCTAAACGCTGCAAAGGAAAAACTGGTCAAAGTATACAGACACGATTTGGTACCAAATCTTCATAATTCGCGGTTCTTCTCAGTTCAGTGGCTTTCTTTTCCGGACCGGTGGTAGAATTTTTACTATCAATAAGAGACTGTAATGTTCCTGTGTTGAATGATAAAGATATTTGAATTTGTCCCTTTTAGGGTAATTTACTCAATGGGTATATTTCTGTTGCCGCTATAACAACAATTACTAAAAAACAGAATAAAAAAATACTTAAGTGGGGCTCCTATACAACAGACAAGATTTTTTGTGCTTTTTATAGATAATGCTACGGATCCCTCCGTGCCACTCGAACTTGGCCAGTTTTATTTTTCCTTTGTATGATTTGAGTATTTTAAGTACATTATTAAAAACTATGAACATTTTTTTCGTTTTTCGAAAAAGCCAACTAGTAACTAGAAATAGCAAGACGAGGTGCAACATGCACTCAGTTAACTTGAAGATATCTTTAAAATTATTTAACTTAATGACGTGGTCAATGATCAATATGCACAGAAAATGAATGAATTGTGTTTAAGCATATTTAATGAACCTACAGGTTCGGGATGAAATAAATTAAATAGCAGCTGTTACCCCAGTTTTAAGTACTCGGCAAGAAAGGAAAACTTCTTAAGGAGTTTTTAATTACCAAAGATACATCTGAAAATCCTTTCAGAAAATGCCATAATGCCTTATCTTCTATGTAGTTATAGACTAATTTTGGTCAGCAGTTTGAAAAAGAAATTGAAAAAAAAAAAACTTTCACAATTATCTTATATTGCTGACATAATCGCAATATTATGCCACTTACAGTCATCAAGTTTGCATGATTGGAAACAATTTGTTGTGAGATTTTTTTTCCTGCTTAGTTTATGCCGTTTGGATGATAGCCTTATTATTTCTAGCATATAAAACCCGATGAATATCAAATGGAAAATGATAACTGAACAAGCAAGTAGTCCATTTACATGAATCATTTTACATCTGAAGTCCTCGAGGTAAGTAAATGATTCAATATTGGTAGCGATTTAGTCAAATATTTAAGTTAAACAATACAAGATCTCCTCCAGTTTAAAGGTTTCAGTTTCATCCTAGGTCTATTCATACAAATACACATCATAATTCATCCCTTTCCATATTATCAGGTGGATTTTAATTGTTTTGTTTGTATTTTTTACATAATAATATTTCATTTCGATTTAAAGTTTGTGTAGACCCAACTAAAAGAGAACTAATCTATCATTAAATAGTTATAATTATAATGGTCGCAACGATCGTCAATGTTTTTTTGTCGAGCAAAAAAAAGTTATCAATCTATATCAAAACTCAATTTTCAACTGCCAGTGTTATGAATAAGTTGGTATTAGTTATGTTACGAATATTAAAGAATTAGTTATTTTATCAATAGTGCAAACGAGATATAGCTTTTGTTTTTTGTCCCTGTCTTATTTATTAAAATAAATCGCAGGTTGTGTTACCTGGTTTATGTAACCGTAACAGTATATTTTTATCGATAAGCTGTATTTTATTAAAATAGTTATTGTATTAAAAATTATAGCACAAAAACGTTCGAGGCAACCAGGCTTGTTTTATTCACCCTTCCGTATAGCATCGTCTGATATGAATTAAGAATAAAAAAAACAGTCAAAGTGAAAAAGTTTAACAAAAAAGGAACCGCTTAATAGAATTTAAAAAGAATTTAGCCTTAAGCTTTACCTTTACGACGACGCAGATGTTTTTTATTATAACTTAGGTAATGTTTATGAATTAACACGATATTAATTTTATCATCAATTTAGGAGAGGGTTTAGGATAAAATAAACCTCATATACTACAATGGGATAGAAAATAATACAGTTTTATACGAAAAATGTTCAGCAGGTGAACAACCAAGAACCATGACATTTATGATTCTGCTATGTCTGGGCAAATTTTAAAGAAGCATATTAAGAATGTTTCTCATTCAAATTGCTTTTTAGAAAATATGCCTTCGTTGTTATGGGACAATAGTTACGATATTTCCTCGCTGAATAGTATTATTACCATTAAGCGCAAAAAGCGCCATCCCTTTTATTACCAGTCACAAAAGTTAGGTTAGGTTAGGAGGATATAATTTTTTTTCCTATGATAAGATATCCAAAAGACTAAGATAAACACAACCTAAATACACTCGTTATTTTTTTTTACACACGCCTTTTACTTACATCAACCTCTGTTGCCACCTCGGTCCTAAACTAAAAATTAATAAAAGTAATCTAATTTTTTATACCAATTTAAATCACTTTAAACCGGTTCATCGTCTTTAAAACAGCGTAGTATCACGTGGGTAGACGGTTAACCTTTTTTGTGTTAACGATAAGTACAACAAAAATCATTTTAATCATAAATTGCCTATTACAATTTTAAAAAGAGACAAATAGAAGTAATTTTCTCTTTTTACTACATCCAATCGGTTTCGCTTAGACTTGATGAGAGGATTTATTAACTGTTCTTGAGGAATGATTCCTATTCTTTAGTCAACGCTACTGTGGGTTCAAGATTTTATGATCAGCACTTTTTGAGTTGTCCCACACGTGCTCAATGGGTTTAAGGTTTCAATTTAAAGTGTATCCTAATCTCTTCAAGATATCATTTAATATTCTCACAGGTTTGGGAGGCCAACAAGTTCTTAGGGCGCTTTGACGAACGCTCTATGGAGTGACTAAGCTCAAGGGCCCCCGAGCGCCCCTCGGCTTGGGGTGTCACTCAATACCCGTTAAGTATTCCGATTCGAGGGTGCCCGACTTCGGCTCGAATAACTCGATAGCTATAATTTGTCGGGGAGATATTGTTGAACTGGTGTAATGGCGTGCGGTGGAGCATTATCTTGCATGAGAATACAATTTTTAACTGTGATTCCAATGCGACCGAAGGCACCTCAAGAACCTTCATAATCTCTATTTCGTAGTTAAATTGAGTCAACCACCTCTAGCGCCATTTAGAGGGACCACGTCGATGATCATAAGTTCTGTTCATTCGTTCGCCAATGTGCCACCCCAAAATGTACAGGATCTTCCATGAAGAGGAACACAGTCCTCAGTGATACTTTAAGCATATGACTCTCTAAGTCGACGATAGACTCTTCTGCGACCATCTGCACCACAAAACATGTCCTACGCTTACAATTAATATTTTACATTTTTATTTAAAAATCACTCAAATCTTCTTTATGTAATAACAATTCTCATAACGCCTAACAATAAGCGATGAGCAAAGATACCGTTTTAGAATTACTCGGCTACATAATCTTATTTGATAGTAACATGCTATCAAATTACTTACTACTCAGAACTTATTCGATTACTGTTATTTTTATTTAAGAAATTAGCAAGCATGCAGGCGGCTTACCTAAAGTTATGTGACTACCACCGCTCATAGATATCTGTGAGACAGGTGTTATAAATACCTGTGAAGTTGCAAATGATGCCAACCTTCAAAAAGTGTAGGCTCTTTTTAATAAGGTAAGGTAGGTAAGGTTTCAGACTCAGCTTTGTGACATCTATAGTCTATTACTTTACTTTACTTTTCATAAAGTACATAAGTAAGTAGTAGATAATACCTAATATTATCTATTTCAGGATAATTAGGTTGATGACAATTTATTGTATAGTTAAACAATCAAATTTAGCTTGAGGAGCAAATAATTAGTCCTCGGGAAAATATGTTGTTTGACAACATGTGGTAACAACAAATCAGTTATCATACAATATAATTAAGTACCTATATTCTCATACCACCCTCTAGATCGTCAATATATCTAATAATAATATTTATATGTTAGAAAATAATGACAACTAATTTAACAGCAGTGGTTGCAGTCCAGGGTTTAAAAATAAAATTTAAATGAGATTAGTGAGAATTCCGTTTCTCGAATATCTTATCTGAGAAAACCATTATCTCACATTTGGTATACGATGACTGTTTCGCGGTATAATGGGTATGAATAGGTATTCAGTTTTGAGACGTAATAACTCCTGAAACCTGGAAACCCTTTGTTGCCCAAACTTTATTATACTAAAATGAAACTAGCCATAGCACGAACGCAAAGACATAATTCATTTTTGTTTATTTTGCCTTTTGTGTTTTCAGATGACGCAACTCTCCGTAGCATGTTTAGTGATAATGTGCGGATTGTGCTATTGTGAAAGCGTGCCCAGCCCGACCTACACTTCTAAATACGACAACGTAAACTTGGACGAAGTATTGGCAAGTGAGCGCTTGCTCACAGGTTACGTAAACTGCCTCTTGGACTTGGGACCGTGTACTCCCGATGGCAAAGAATTAAAAAGTAAATTAAAAAAACGTTAAAAGGATACTTATTCCAAATAACCAAACACACAAATAACTAGTTGAACTATGTAGCCATTTTTTGAAGTCGGCGGTACGACTGATGTTAAGTGATTACCGCCGCCCATGGACATCTAATACAACTGTGGGTAGGTGTGTAGGTCTGTAGGTCATCCGTGACCAAAAGCAAACCAAACAAGCCCCATTTGTGCAAAATTACAAAAACTATAGTTCTGTTCCCTTCTACATCAAAATGAAAATCTATTTTAAAATAGAAAATTTATAAAATATTACAAGAAAAGTAACTAGTGTGGAGAAAAATTATTTATGTTTACAGCTAACTTGCCGGATGCAATAGCGAACGACTGTAAGAGTTGTACAGAACGTCAACGGGAGGGTGCTGATAAAGTCATGCAACACCTTATAGACAACAGACCAGACGACTGGGATAAACTTGAACAAAAGTAATGCAAAGGATAAGTACACTCTAGAATTTCGGTAAAGGCATAAAAAGCCCTCGGTCTACCTATCAAACTGTGAATAGACACATTACTTTGCATTTATAATATTTTTATCAACAATATGACTTTAACTATTATTTACAGCGTTTATAATACCAAAATAGTTACTTATTTTTAAATTATCGAAGAGGATTGAATGATTCAAGGATCTTAAATAGACTTTGCCTGTTGGCCGGTTATACTTATCCTTTGAGCAGAAAAATGCTTCATTTTTCTTGTAATAAACGGTAACTATCAGACGCAGAGCTGAAATAGTTCTTTCAAAAACATTGCAAAGGGATCCCAATAATCTGGGGCTTTATGGCTGTCCAACTGCAGAATGAAGAAGACGGAATGACTCTTTCCTTCCTTCGTCCAAAACTTAGGGGATATTAACGGACATAACAGTATTCTTAAATGTTTCTCGTTCGAGAGAAAATCTGTTGCTGAGGAGAACCTATTATCCCTTATTTCAGATATAAATCTGATGGCAGTTACAAGCTGCAGTACTTACAGAAAAAGATAATGACAAAGAAAACTAAAGAAGACGATAAAAATTCCGAAGAAATCCGCGAAAACAGTGTAGAAAAAAAATAAAATTTTATGAAATATTGGATAAATAATGAATTTATAATTAAATCTGAACTAATAAAAATTGATATAGAGTAGCATGATTATTCAATTTTATTTATCATAAAAAGGTTTATCATGTTTAGGTATAACAATTTATAACATGTTTTTTATCTCAATTGTCCATGTTGTTCAGAAATTTCGCACGGAAGTTTTTTTTAAAAAAAAAAAAAAGTTCTTTATTCTATACGTCAAATTTTTGTTAAAAGTGCCAATCATAAGTATTTGAATCATTGAATTTGATGAAGAATTATCGAAGTTATGGCGTACCGACAAAAACACATTCGAGAAATAATATACATGGGTAGCAAATAGTAAATCGTTCAGACAAGGTCCAAATATCATAAAATGAAAACTAACAAACATTTGCTAGATTACGAACAAGTCAAGAAACTGTGCCATTGAACAACATGATAATATTACATGAGTAACAAAGGTGAAATAAAACGTTAAAGTTTGAAACTAAGTATTTATTCATATTATCTTTTAAGTCCATAAAAAGTGTATTAAAGTACCCTTTTATGTTAGTGATAACATTATTGACATATATTTGGTGCTTTTAATTTTAAATATTTTCGTTAGTGATTAATATAACTTTACTCAACAACTTTTGACAAACAATATACCTAATGTACGTTACTTTTTGGCTTCTCATTACAAGTTATAAAGGGTAAATAAAAGTTTTAACGCTTAGAATTTCTCCATTAAAAATCTCCTCACTCGCACATTCGCACTTGGTATAATGGTTCTATATTTAGAAGCTTTTATTTCTTGAGCAGGCCCAACAATTTTTAGTCTAATTTCTTCATCGCGTTTAGCAGCACTATCTTTTTTTACTTTCCTTTGTAACGCATACCTACAATGTACACCTCTATTACATTCAATGAAGGCAAAAAGATGAATTCTCATCACACTTTCTATCCCGTAATCCTTTCAAGCTTTTGACGGCTGTTGTACCTGGTGAGAAACAATTTCCAAGCGACTGGATCGTGAGCCATCATCGAAGCAACAATCTTCCCAGCACTCTCTTTTTCTTTAACGGAACATTTGACACAATCGTTTTTCATTGCTTGAATAAGAACACCTGAAAAAATCATTGATGTGAAAATTTTATATCACCTTACCGAGGATAGAACTTGACATCTATGGACTCGGCTCATATCCTACGCAGACCAATAAGTTTTCCGTTACTTAGCCTACCTACTACATAAATTTAATCTCGATTATACCTGGTTTATAGTAATATGTAGGATTGCATGGTCTACTCAGTGGGCTTAAAAGATGTAGAAATCTTCTGTTTTCCGTGTGTTCTTATAAAGATTTCTTTATGATCTTGTCCTAAATTCACAAGATCGTACAAAATCATGAGAGAAACAAGATGTTAAAAAATTGCTTAAGTACTTACTCATTCTACACAAAATACCATATGCTATACTAATTCTTACGGTGGTAGGGTCACGTAGCAGCCTCGGCTGTTGCACGAATGGGCAGGCCCGTCCGGGTAAGTACCACGACCTTACAGAAGACCAGCGTAATGTAGGACAAATACTTTCGCGTGTCGTCTGGTGAGTGAGGTAGCCGGAGCCCAATTTTCAAAAGGTTGTCAACGCATTTGTAACGGCGGCGGTATTCACTTAACATCAGGTGAACCGTCTGCTCGTTTAACAACTTTTCGCATAAAAAAAGAAAAAAATCCATTAAGAATCATAATTATACAGACATAAAACCGTTAGTTATTTTTCAAACCTTTCAAAAATTTCGATGTACCCTATGGGCCCAAAGATTCAACAGCAAATGGCACAAACACATAATCTAAAGAAAGAGACTCATATTTGCACCACTTGTTTTCTTCAGCTACTTTCGATGCCGCGCCGGCCCTGACCAAAGTACCGCTTAGTGTACCGTCTACACAAGTAGTATCCCAAACGAGGGCTGTGCCTCTCCCCCAACGAATCAAAGTCAAGCCACCGCGTTTCTTACCATCGTCGCGATAATGATGTCATTCAGGGAACCGTGGAGAGAAAAGCGGTCAGCACTTTTGTGACAAGAAAGCCCGTGGAGACCATATTTATCCACATCAACACCACATAAGTTTAAAATATTAAGTAGTTACTTTTTTGCCTTTTATTCATTTCACAGGACGCAGCGGGTGATTGTTAAGCAGGGTTTGTTGCCAGACACGGATAGTGTGTCTCTCAAAAATAAAATAAGTTCATTATAAACTTATTCCACTTTTGAGAGACTCGATGAAAAAACTTTTAATTAACCTGCTCAACTGGGAAAATATCAAGGCCGAAGACCGTTACTTTGCAAATGTATTTATGTATTTTTAAGGCACCTGTCACTTATATTGGAAATACACGAATAGCGCTTCATAAAAATTAATAGATAAGCTTTCTAGCTTCTTTCCAAATAGGTTTAGAGTATATTGAAAACATACACATTACACACCTTTAATCCTGTACATGTCCTTGGTACAATAATTGTCCGCTGACATCAAGCATTTGACGTCTTGCGCTGGCAGAGGTGGTATGGCTTCGTTGACGTTCACCTTGCTTTTTAACCCTTGTATTTTTTCCACTTCGTTCACCACTTCATTTACCGCCATCATATCCTCATCACCGTAGACAATTTTATACCCTAGACTTTTTACGCCCTCACTCATAGTCCTATCAATTCCTCCTATAGTAAGTTCGGAGAAAACGATCCCAAGCAGAGCTAAAATGAAGAAAGTTCTAGGCCACATCGTGAAATCTCTGACCGTTACAATTTAGAACTGAGGATAAACTGTGTCGAATTTAATGACACTTAAAGAGTGGAGCTGTATTGTTGCAATGTGAATTCATCGATGTGTATTGTTTTTTCAATTGTATTCGTTGCAATCGTAAACTAAGAATTATCAGGGGTAAAAAACTTTAACATCCCGACGTGTGCGAACCAACTTCATTATGAAGAAACTCTAGTAGACACAATGTGCCATTGTGTTTTAATATCACCAGATTTACATAAACAAACGATGACCATCTCTATCGGAATCGTTTTAATAAAGAAAGTCAAATATTTAACATAACAATGTATTTCATTCATTATTCTATACAGCTTAAAAACATTCAAATTTATACGTGCTGTGTGAAGTATGTAGGAAACAAAAATAAAACTATAATTATCATGACAGACTCATAAGTGTGTTTCATACCTCTGATGCTTAGGTATTCGGGGCGCGCGCATCACAGTATACAAACAACCTTCACTTCAAAGGCATACTAACAGTGGCAAATAGTAAACATTTCTCTACAGTTTCGGCCGCAGTTGGCCTTAGTTAAGATACGTTTTGGAAAATTGACAATAAAAGTAAAATAACAGGCTGAAACTGCTCGGCAAAATCTCCCTGTGTACCGAGGGTATTATCGCACAGTCGTTCGTGTGATCCCTGTGTGAATTTATTTATTTATTTACACACTTTAGTGTACTAACTGGTGCAAACGGCGAGCTTAATGCAATAAAGCATTTTCTACCAGCCAACCGGAAAGTTAGTGACCTAAATGATATGTGCTGTGCTTATGTGTTGACGCGAACTTTTAAACTAGAGGGACAAGTACACAAGTTATCATCATCCTCCTGCCCCTATCCCACCTAGGTGGGGTCGGCACAAGATGAATCATGATGTAAGCGGTTTTGGCTATATTTTTACAACCAGCCGATTGCCTGACGTCAACCCTCCTTGGAATACAAATACCCAGATCAAATTTCAACTGTGTAACTATCACGGTTCATGAGATACAGCCTGTTGACAGAGGGACAAACAGACAACGGAGTCTTAGTAATAGGATCCCGTTTTACCCGTTGGGTACGGAATCCTAAAAATGCCCCAGAGATATAGTGTTGCACGGTAGACACGTCCATCTTAAAAAGGTCTCTGAGTTACACCGATTGTATGATTCACTAAAATATCCCTTAATAGTCGTAATAGTAGAAGACGGATAATATTTTACTATTCTTCAGCAAGGTACTGTGCGGTACAAAACTGTGACATGCATGCAATTTTATGCATTTAGGTTGATGGTTAAAGCTACCTGTTTTAATCCATTGCATTATTACAGGTACTTATTAGGGTATCCCTACCCAAAGGGTAAAACGGCACCCTATTACTAAGACTCCGCTGTCTGTCTGTATGTGCGTATGTCTGTCCATATGTCACCAGGCTGTATCTCATGAACCGTCATAGACAGTTGAAAATTTCACAGACGATGTATTTCTGTTGCCACTATAACAACAAATACTAAAAAACAAAAAAAGTATAAATAAGTGGGGCTCCCATAAAACAGACATGATTTTTGCCGTTTTTATAGACAATGTTGACAGCAGTAGTGTTTTTGACAATATGTAAGTGTAATACTTCTATATTGAATAAACATATTAAGACATGATTTTTTTTAATGTGATAGAGTGGCAAACGAGCTGGCGGTTCACCTGATGTTAAGCAATAACCGCCGCCTATGGACATTTGCAACACCTGTAGGGTTGCAAATAAGTTGCCATCTTTAAATAAAGTGGGCCCAAGCTACCTCTCTCACCAGACGAAACGTAGAAGTATAACACTTCTATTTATGCCGGTCTTCCGTGAAGTCGGTACGGAACCTTCGTTTGCGATTCCGACTCACACTTGGCCGGATTTTATTCAATACATTGTCGATATGATGGCAAAAATATATCAGAAAGATTGAATTACATATGATATAGTGATCACCAGAGACTGAGGGCTGGTGAAACATTCATCTTAGAGACACTTTAAATCAAGACGCAAATATTGACCCATCAAATATCGGCCAACGCGTAATCTGCAACGCCATATTCATTCACAGGGTCTCCGCGTTATCTGCATTAAAAAACCAATCATGCGATGATTTATGTCCGAAGCTATGGGAGACCAGACTTATTTGTCATTTTTACGTGTAACCACGAATGTCCCTTAAATTAAAGCGGAACTATTAACTGGTTAGCGTTCTTTCGATCTTCATGACGTAATTTCAAGAGTATTTCATTAAAAGATGAAGAAATTCATAAAATTATTCACCAAAGACGAAATATTCGGAAGGTTTTATGTGTGTGTATGATAATTTTTAATTTTAAAATTTTGTTTAATATCCGTGCGAAGCCGGGACGGGCCCCTAGTATATATATAATCGGAATCTCGGAAACGGCTCATTTTCATGAAATTTAGTATGTGCGTAGACTGGGGGGTGAAAAATCGATCTAGCTAGGTTTCATTTTTAGAAAATGTCCTTTTATCCCTGTTTTCAGGGAATGAAATATATCATTCGAATACGACGGTAAATTTCGCCGCAAAAAAATGTTATGATAGCTCGGTCGGGCGGCCCCAAAACAGATGGCCGCGGTTCTTATTGCGATCATTTACACACTTATTTTTTTTACTTCTTTTTCTATACCAGATCATTGCTTTCTTTATTTTCAATTTTTTTCGATCCAGATGATTTTGTTCTTTTTTTCCCTTTTTTTTAAAGTTCTTTCCTTTGTGAAAAACACCAGTTCATATGTTCTTATTAATACGTCGACGGTAAGGTCGAAAAATATGATGCATATTTCTCATAAATTATTATATTACTCGGTAATTTGTATCTAAATGTAATTTACAAAATACACGATTTACCAAAAAAAAAACCAAACCTCCAGTCCTCCAGGTACTTATTATTATATGTCCCACTATTGAGCAAAGCTAGAGGAGAGCTAAGTACAGTGGGTATTAGGGCATAGTCCACCACGCGACGCCACTGCAGATTGGCGGACTTTACATAATTATGTTGAAAATATATTTTTTTTATTATATAGAGAATATGCATGTTTCTGAGTACGTGATGAGTGAGCACTTAAAATTAACAATTTTATTGGTGCCGGTAAAACAAAACCAAAAATTCAAAGGACGAAATTATTACTACCAAAGCTCTATTACCAAATCATTAATAAAAGCAGTAAATTGCTTATTCTGTTGGTATATTTTTTATAGTCATATATAATCCTATAAAGCTCAATGTAGAATTATTTATATGGGAATTACCTAAAGGAAATCCCCATATGTACGATACGTCATTACACTTCAGAAGCATACAAAATTAAAAAGTGTAACAAGAAGACTATACCACCGACTTCTTTTTCTTGTTTTTTTTTTTTGCCAAGTTACAGTGCAATGCAAGTTTATCGTGGAATTTTTTGAATACGGAACAATTATAGAGTGGGTAATCGTGGTATTCCAGAAAATTACAAATACTTTTATTAACTTAATTCAGTGTTTTTATTTTACTCTACGGTTTTTTTTTTTGTAATTTTTACTCCCGACTTTCGAATACTTTTCCGCAATCATGGTCACGGAATGGACTTATTTGACTTCCTCCGTTACCCCTAACCAAGGTTACCATTTGCTTCAAAATATAACTTTTAATTTGTGGGTCATACTGTGAATGTTATTTGTATCGTAAAGTATTGCAGCAGCACCAAACCAGCATCCTTGGCAGATAACGTATAACATTACTACATGCATGAATGGACAGGTCCGTCCAGGTGAGTACCATAACCTAACAGAACACCGGCCTGAAGTCCGGGAATATTGAAGTTCAGAAATAGTTAAAATATTAGAATCAAAGTAACAACGTTAGAATTCTAGGTGAGTGAGATAGCGGGAGCCCACTTTGTTAAGAGATGGCAACACATCTTTTTTTTTATACAAAAAGTTGTCGAACGAATACCACCGGGTGTTACGTACGATCAATAATGGGTGGCGGTTATTATTTAACATCACCTGATGAACCGCTAGCTCGATAGCCACCTTCTCACATAAAAAAGGGTATATTATATAAAGTCATTGCTCAAAAACTGGCACCATCATATTGTATCGAAAGATCAAAACTATTCGGAGGAAGTGGAAACTATAAGCCAGCACGTTCGTCAAATCTAAATCAAAAATAAGAAATCCTAATCACAATAGACAATCATTTGTTAATTATTTAAATCACTTCTTTGTCGTTTGTTATTCTTTTTGTTCTTTTCTATAGAGAGGAAGTTATCATGTAGGATTAATAAAAATGACATTTTTTGCTTATTCTTTTTCAACCTTAACGTTTCTAAAAAAGGTTTAATCAGTTTTTCTTTTTTTGCTGCGTTCTTTAATTATCTTCATGAGTAAGTACCTACAGTTTTATACCATTGTTGTCACGTTTTCTACATCGTGGTATAAGTATAAACATGCAACCGTATAACAATAATTGTAAACATACTTTTTTAGCTTGTATTGATGAAAATATAGTCTGTGCATAATATAGCACAGTGTGTATGAATTTAAAAAATTGTTAATCGAAGCATACTTTACGAATTTTGCCCATATATTACTTACTAAAATTAGTTTTAAACGTTTTTCTTAGATTTATCAAATATTGCTAATTTTTTATAGTTATTTAGATATAACCTTAATATCTTTTGATTATAACAAGTTAATAATAAAAGCATATAAAAAAACGATAACTAGGTACCCCTATACTCGCTGTATGATTATTTAATATTAAACCTTCATGGCGAGAAAAAAAATCTTATGACCGTCACTAGAATAAGCTATAATAACGCGAATGATTTTTGTTCACCCAAAAAGTGTTCAACGCGCCTAAAGAAGTTTTCACTTCAACATTGAGCTATGGGTTTTCTGTTTCTTATTTACATGCACGGTACATCTACCGCCGAAGCAGTTAAAATCTTTATTACATAAATGTTCGTTCGATTGGGAAAGGACCACCTTGAGACGACAGCTAAATATAGCGACATTATGTTGTAAAACCATTGTTGATTTTAATTATTCTTAGATGAAATGTTGGCGCTGGCGACACTGTATACCGGATATGACGTTATCTACTCGAGCCAAGGGACACATTGACACATGGTCGCATGGAGCATGGCAGGCAGTGGTCAGTCACTTGGATTTCGGCCGCGTTCCCAGACGGTTATATAACCACTAGTGCTGCCTGTCGTTAAAATAGTTGTTAATGTTCACGTTCAGTAATAGTTAAAATATTAGGATCAAGGTAAAATCGTTAGAACTCTTACAGAAATCATAATGATATCTAACTCTTCAAAAACTATTGTAAGTGAATGCAAATATACTTACAATTTGGCCGGACTTCTTTCGCATCTCTAGTGAGTCTCTTTTAAAATATTTGTTTGCATATTATTAAATAATCAAGGCATTCTTTAACCAATGTAACCAAAATAATTTGATAAATAATTTCCAGTCAAAAGAAACAACATTATTTTTAGAAGACTTCGCGGTCTATCTGTCTGTCCGTCTGTCACCAGACTGTATCCCATAAACCGTTATAGTTAAACTGTTGAAACGTTCACTGGTCATGTTCTTCTCTTACCGCTATAATAAGAAATACTTAAAAAAAAGAATATAAAAATATTTAAGGGGGGCTCCCCCATTCAACAGACATGAATTTTTACCGTTTTTGTAGATATGGTACGGAACCCTTCGTGTGCGAGTTCGACTCGCACTTGACGGTTTTTTTGTTTTCGCAAGAATCTCATCAATATGCTCGCTTTGCGCGATGAAAAAAGTAAGCCGAAAGATTTTTTATGTTAATTTTATAGAAAAAAGTGAATTTGTAAATAAAACAGATTTTTGTCAATGCTTTATTATTTTTTCAACAATTCCTCCATTTTTGCAGCCGCAACCGACATATCAAGTTTATTAGATGTATTCTTAACTAAAATCCCTAATAATGCTTTCAATACTTTTACTTTCCCTTCTTTGTACTGTTTAACTATTTTTGGATTGTTTTGTATGATTTCCATGCATTTCTGTGATATTTCATCCTCATCCGTAATTATGAACCATCCTTTCTCTGCTATCAAATCAAAGGGCGAAATATTGTTGGGCTTATCAAGAAGTTCATCGATTATTTTTCGATATACATCCAAATTGATCTGTTTCCTTAAAAACATATCAGTGAGTTCTTTAATTTGATCCTTTGTTATTGCACAATCTTCAACACCAATATGTCTTTTGTTAAGTACAGTCAAGAGATCGTTAAGTAAAAGATTGGCCACTTTAGTAGGGTTCCTAACAGTATCTAATGTTAATTCGTGAAAGTATTCTAGCAAGGGAGGCTCGTTGACCAGTTGAATGGCGATCTCCGGTCGTAAACCAAATTGTCCGATGAGTTTCCTTCTGGAGTCTTCTGGTAGCTCAGGTATGAGGTCTTTGATGGCTGGCACACTGATTACATCCTGAGTATCTTCTTTTGTACGTAAATTTACACGGAGAGGTGGAAGATTCGGCTCTGGCATGTATCTGGAACAAATGTTTTATATATTAATGTTTGTTTTAAAGTTATAACTCTATAAAGCACTTATATTAATTTTATTTTAAAACCTACAGTGTAATTTTACTATAAAAACTCTAAAGCGATCCTTTGTGATTTTTAGTTTTATTAAACTCTTTTTGGAAAAGCAAGCGCATAAATTAACTTTCTTTAATATTTTAATATCAAGAACCACATTTTCTTTAATTTATTTCGCGTATTTTGTTTTGCACCTGCGTCAAACTTTCTCTACTCCCAGGGTTGACTGGAAGAGAATGCTTATTAGCATTAAGTTTGCCTTTTGTTTAGCCTTAAGTTGAGGTGTAAACAATAATTTTTTAAATAAAAATAAAATAAAACCACATTAATTTCTTTTTTGTGTATTTAAGAAAATGCTTTGTATCATTTTCGGAATTATCTTCGTAAATCTTTCTTTTACTAGTTAGAAAAGACTCATTTTTCTATATCTTATTCTGACCCCCTAAAAATTTTATGAATATGTAATATTTAACGCAGTGCTTAGAAGTCGAGAGCGTCAACACATAAGAATAATCTCGAATAACCCTAACGCTAAAGTTATGAAAAAGTGGAGTTTACATAATATGGTTGTCACCCGTTTCCATATGAAGCTGAAGATAAATTTAGAAGAAGCTATAGAAATGCGATACAGTACACATGACCAGAAATATCTAACGTCATGCATAATCCCACTTAATCCCAATTACCGTAACTCTAATCCTTAATAATATTATAAACGCGAAAATTTGTATGTATGGATGGATGTTTCTTACTCTTTCACGCAAATACTACTGAATGGATTTTAATGAAACTTTAGAATAATATAGCTTATACATCAGAATAAGACAGGGTATAATTTATATACATATAAGTATATCTGTCTTTATGTCTTAATGTTACGCTTTTTCTACACAGATGTAGTCGCGGGCAGCAGCTACTATTAATATATTTCTTAAGACTTGCTAGTCAACAGGGTAAATTGCATCATCATCATCATCATTTCAGCCTGTTTGAGTCCACTGCTGAACATAGGCCTCCCACATAAACAGGGTAAATTGCATGAATAAATAATTTCGGGTTTAGAATTTATAATATTAACCACAAGCATATAATAAAAATTTGACATGAAATATATTATTACACCTTTATATTTGGTACATCCCCTATTAGTTTGAATAACTATGATATTCTACTAGAATCAACTCGCCTAAATAAAATAATTCAATGTATGTTTAGAGCATTGTGTTTCTTATTATCATTTGGTTTTTACCTAGAAGTCATCAACCATGACCAGACCTGGCAGGTAAGCAAAGACTAAGATTTCATCAAGGTCGCTTAATATCTTTCATTAACTTACTATATGAACCCATATTTAGAATATGAGTTTAGTCAACAGGTACGTAATACTAGCATACCTATAATCCTGGACAACCTCTTTGTCTCTCATTGCAATAGTGACTTTGTTAACGGCATCCCAAGACCGTGTTTCATTCACAACCCGTCCGCCATTTTCTAACAGTGTGTGTTGTCGTTGAATCTCGTGACAAATAGCACCCGCTACGCCACGAACTGAACCAATGTTTTTAATCTATGCAACAATGTAAACCAATCGCAAATTTTAATTAAATTAACTTTTGATTAAATCATTATCTAAAGGGTCTTTACTACTTTTTTATTTTTATTGAATAATATAACAGATGATTGAACCAATATAATTTTAATGAAATGTGATATATAATTGTCTTATGTTTATAAATATTAAACAGTTACAATAAGATGATGATAATTTTGTAGATCTAAATTTCTACTATCCTAATAAACAAACCTCGGTCCTTGTTGACAAGGGATCTCCAAAATTCCTGAGAGAGACATTAGCATCTACTCTCAGTGCACCCTCTTCCATACGCCCCGTGCAAGCTCCAAGTCTTCGCATAATCAAAATTAACTCTTTCACTAGTGCTGCTGCCTCTTCACCATCCTGAAATAAGCAAATATTAAGATCAAAAATAGGTTTATGATATCTAGTTGAACCCTCTTTTTTAAATTTTTCTCATAATATAATACAGTATTGAAATTAGTCACCAAGTTGTAATGAAGAAATAAGTTAATGCAAGAATGTATCAGTAAAAGTTTGTTTATTTGAAAGATTATTTGTAAATAGACTATTGATTTGCTTTATTATTGTTTTTTTTTTTTTTTTTTTTTTCATTAAAAGTAATATATAAAATTTATGATATTTTGAAATATTTATTAAGTACACATAGTCTTTTTCATTCACACCTCAGTGAAGATTATGATAAAGATTAAGTGTTTATAGATTGGAATTATCAAAACCCCTTAAATATTTGAATTCATAAAACTCTATACTAATATTAAATGAAAATGTAATGGTTTTTAGTGTAATTTAAAATAATTACCTCCAAATCTGGCTCAAAAACTAGCTCAATTAGGGGAGCTCCTGCTCTGTTTAGATCAACAAGACTCCTCTTTAGTTCACTGTCATGTAGAGATTTACCGCTATCTTGCTCTAGTTGGATTTGCTTAATTTTTGAACTCTTATTATATGGCTTTTTGTGGACACCTGGCGTAAATACCTGTTAACAATTACTTTACCATAAATCAAATGTTCCCAACAAAGTGCAACTCTGAGAAAAACATGTGAGATAATATTTTACTACCAAAATAAATAAACAGCAAGTATGGTAATACATTTTTAAATTTGCCAGTTAATACTACTTTCAAATGTATTACCTGAAAATTGATCACTCCATTACTGGCTAATGGAGCTCTCTGTTGAGTTATTTGATAACCGGCAGGTAAATCAGCATAAAAATAATGTTTTCGATCGAAAGAAGAAACTTCATTGATTTTACAAGAGAGTGCTAAAGCAGTTATTATACCAAGTTCGACACATTTTCTGTTCAATACAGGCAATGTACCGGGTATTGCAGCATCATGTAATGAAACGCAGTTATTCACTAACCCACCAAAAGTATTCTGAGCGCCAGAAAATAGTTTAGATTTCGTATTTAACTGAGCATGCACTTCCAATCCTACAACACTTTGCCACTTGGTATTTGTGGCAGTTGAATAATCGCGTTGAAAATAAATAAGTTTATTGTTCTTTATCACTTGATTAGATATATTTATGAATTTCATTTTTATTATTTTATTTTATAAAAACGAACATATATAGCTCGATAACATAATACAAAATACGACATTGACACTTGACACTTGACAGTAAAAAAAACGTCAAAACATTAACGGTGCGTTCCACTAAGCGCCCACAACGATCAAAATGCTCCTTTAGTCGTTCCACATAACGACCGCGGTCGTTGTGGTCGCGGCCAAAACGTCACTTATGACGTCATGACTTACGCTCACGCGAAGCTCACGGCGACCCATATAAAAAGGTGGGTCGAAGTGATCGTTGAGAAAATTAGCGGCATTTTCAAAATTCAAAATGTCTAAGTTCAAAGTGTCACCTCAAAAGACATTTTAATTACATTTGAACGTAAATTAATTAAATACACCACTAATATTAAATATAAAAAATTAAATTATAATTTTTTCAATATAAATCGGGTTAAACAATAATTATTTAAGTTTATTTTCAAGGCTTACAGATTATAACCTAACCTCTTAAATCTTTTGCTTCCTTTTTTCTATTTCGCCGTTTGTATTATTTTTTACCTCGACGCTCAAAACGCTCTATAATCCATTCCACTTGAGTTTACGGCAGTAACGCTCACAAGCAAGTGGAACGGGAATAACTGCGGTCGTGAGCGTGATCGTTGTGGGCGCTTAGTGGAACGCACCCATAGGACAGCTAAAGATAATAGATCGCGAGTGAGTGTGAGTATTAGAAAAGGAAAGATATATGTGTCTGCCAAAGAACTAACGAATCCGTAGCTCACTATTTCTCTACAGCTTTGAAGATATGATTCTTTTCCCTATATTACACGTTACGTTTTTATTACGTCACTGAACAAGTGAACAATTAACAAAGGACATACCTTTCAACTCAGTAGGCTCAGAGAAAAGATAAAAAAATGCAAGCAAATTAAAAAGAGGGAGAACCAATATAAGATACAGAGTAAGAATATGATACAACAGAGTATAAACTATAAATTATTTTGTTCAGTTTTGTAAACGTTCAGTGTCAATTTTTTTTTTCAGCGGCTAAAATTGGCGGCTCAATCTTATTTAATTTGTTTTACGTCATTACGTGAGATGTAATTTGATGGTTATATAATTTCACCTTCTATTACCTGTTCAGTTGTCAAAATGTCTAATATGTCATTATTAGTGATCTCCTGTTAGAAGATTCGATTTTTTTAGTTATTATTTGTATATTACAATTTAATGTGTGAATATTATAAAATTGAGAATTTTAAGAAAAACTTGACATTGGCGGAATTGTGTTATCTCTCAAAGCAAGCTATTAATTAAAAAAAAGAAAGAAAGATCTGCTGTTGAAATAGTGATACATATTGCTAGTTTAAAAAGATAGGTATAAATTTTTTTATCAGAGATATATTTTGCCGAACTCAAAATTCTACTAAACAAATGGTAAAATTTTCCATTAGCGTCCTGGACTTTTCGAAAAAATTTATTCGGTAAAGACAAATCACTAATGAAATACTGAACAAGCAGAATTTAGCCGTCGCTTATAGTTTCCGAGAAAAATAAAAAAAGTAGCACTCGGGGACTGCCGCGGTAAAGCGGCTGTTTTTTATCAACTTATGTAGTTATAATTATTTATTTATTTTTTATTTATGCATTTTTTTTTCTCCGATGTTAATTCAAGTTACACTTTTTGAGCGTGGTGACCGATAAGAAAACATTTTTTTTTCTTTTATTGAATAAATGGTAACTGAAATAAGAAACATAAGTTTGAGATTTGATATCCTCTAAACATCATATCATCATATGATAATATAATATTATAATATTCTTCCTTGCGAGCTACGTACAGTCGTACCATTTACATACACGTTAAGCCAACACTCGGCCGAGCTTCATGGTAGTCGGAGTGGAGGATGTTAGCTTTTATTGTCGTTACGAAATTTCTTGATTTAGTCGCTTAAAAAATATTGAAAGCTTGTTATTTTCACTAAATAATTCCGCCATCACTAAGATGGCAACACTACAGAAGCTACACTTAAAATTATCACACTATACATATTTTTACGGAATCGCGGGCTAAAATTGGTTATTTTATTAATAACATTTCATTGTCATTTTGAAATAGACCATGAGCAGTTATAATACGCAGTTTTACAAGTATAATGTATCATATAAATAGCAATATTTATTCATAAAACCAGTATATGGAAGAAATTGTCACTATTTTGTGGATATTTAATTTTTTTTTATATTTTTATACGTGTCAAAGCAATTTTTATTTGTACATTTTGCGTGTCTTCGCAATTCAAATGATTAAGTATCCGGAAATAATAGGTAACATTATTTAATTTCCAAGTTTTGATTAAGAAAGAACGAGTCATGTATTTCCTGTTTCAAAAGAAAATACAACAAAATGTTAGAAAATTCTTTACAAAAATATGAAAAAGGACTTACTAAATATTGCAATCGGCGCTCTGTGAAGCCTTATATTTGCTGATGTTTTCCTTATATAAATATTATATCTTAATAGAAATTCGAAATAATTACAGATATTGCATTGATAATTTGCGTAAGGTACTTATCAGCTAACTTATAAACTACTAAACACTAATTAAAATATCACATTGTTATTTTCTCAAATTAGCCACTTCAATGCCTAAGCCACTAATCCCGTTACAACTTCGAACAGGAATGAAAAAAGATACAAAACAACAAAAGCTAAAGTAGCTTCTGCGATCGAATACATTTTAAAAGAATTTGTAATGAATATTTGCTTTCCGGTAAGCCGCGAAGACGCGTTTTATTTATAGAAACACGGCGTGCGATCGATACAGGTGACTATCGAATAATGAAAATGAATGTACTGAACTGACTGGCTCATGCTGGCTGGACTGAGCCGAGCGAGGCGCTACTACGCAACACATTGTGTATACAAATCACAAACCTTGACGACGCTCACCGTAACACAGTCAAATAAAAATGTACTCTCAGATGTTGGTTCTTCGAAGTAAAGTGGGGCCATTTTATTTAGTCCTGATATTGAAAAATGCTACACACCCACAAGTTGATAATGCTATTACACGTTTGCGTCACCATTCAGTTCACGAACCAGACACACACCTCTGATGGACTTTGAACCATTGAATTTCTATCATTGAATTTCTTTCTTTGTCTTATAATTTCATTAGGTTAGCAAATTAATATAGGTACGTAATACAATAATGTTTAATCACTGTAACAAGGTAACTGCATAAATACATTCCATACCGTTCCACATTCGGTCATTGTTACACAAAGAAAGGTTAATTATTCGTTAACCTGTACTAAGTCACACACGATTTTTCACACCTACTGCAATAAACTTACATTAGTATTCAGGTAATTTGCCTATTAAAAGTAAAGCTCATTAATTCTGACCCTTTTACTGTGATCACCTTTTTATTTTTAAAATACGTAGCTTGATTAAATTAAAACGATATTAAAGAGCAATAACATTGAATTGATGATATTACTTTGTTGTTTTCATCCTTTTATTATACTTGCTTCGCACAAACAATGTTACTTATTACTAATTTTAAAATTACCTGACATGTTGAAAACTGTAAAATTTTTTTTTTGGTGAATTTTATTATTAGATTTCTTTTATTGCAATTTAATTGCAAACCTACCTCTTGCACAAGAGGGTGTGAGTTTGACCCCACTACTGAAAAATATTGTGTGATGAACACAGTGTTTTTCCAGTGTCTGGGTATTTATATATGAATGATATACATTTATTTACAAAGTAAAAGTATTTTTAAGTTTGTTTATCAGTTTTCTAGTTTTCATAGTACAAGCGTTGCTTGGTCCACTACGCGACACCACTGCAGATATTTTGACTTTACTTCACATATCTTGGAAATATTTTTTTATATTTCGATAATATGCAGGTTTTCTCAATATGTTCGGCACAAAAAGTGAGTTATCGCGGCTCGGTTAATGTTTTTTTTTATTTATTTCTGATCGATACAAAGCTCATACAAGAAAACAAATACAGACAACGAAGTCATCAGGTGTTTTTTTTACCAAGTAACAGAAGGCATTTAGTGGGAGGTAAAACTAGGCTAAGTAAATATCAGATAGAAGCAACATGACATTGTGCTATTTTATCAGTCGGAATGATATGGCTATCAATAATCGTGCCTAGAACATATCGGTGCCAAGACAAACATAACTATGAAGTTTTAATGAGTACTGAAGGGGTTCCAAAATAATGGTCACGTATTCATTAACGTACGTGCTATGTAACGTTTACAGTTAAACAATTGCACTAATTATAGCTGCATTTTTTTATCATTTGTTTTAATTAACAGCAACAGCAACAATTATTTAAAGGGACCCACATACTTTATTGAATATCAGAAATGTATTAGTGACTAACGAAAGAAAATATCCCACAAAGTCATTAAAACGCCTTATAACGATAATTACGCAAAACAGTTAACCAATTAAGCTGATCGAAAGATATCTTCTATTTCTGTCTTTTTTTACAAGTTTTTATGAATTATGAAAATATGGACCCTTTAAAATTATTCAAGATTAAGAAGATGTATAATCAAGATTACCTAATAAATGTTTATGTTTGCTTTGAAAAATCTATTTAGACTATGTAATAGTTTTGACTGATAGATCTGTGCGGGTACTCCCTTTTAATTTAGTATATGTGCCTGCTAGAAGTGATATTCTGTGTATCGTCTGGTGAGTAAGGTAGTCGGGGCCCACATTATTAAAAGGTAGCAACGCATCTGCAACCCTATGGGTGTTGAAAATGTCAATGGGCGGTGGTTTACTGCCGGCACTCCGGGTGTGGGATTAATTGCTGCCCCGCGGAAGGCTCGAGAGGGGTGCCGTGTACACATAAACTTTATTATCTATACAATAGTCATTGCCCCACGAGGTCAATCGTATTAATGTTTATGGGGATATTTTTAGTGGCAGAACCCTTTTTTACGCAACAGGAAAACGAAGATGAATAATAAATAATTTCCGTTACGGTATGTAGCAATGCGTTAGAAGTTACAAGTTCTGCAATAAAGTCACGCAAGTACTGTAAGAGATAATTTTGAAATTTTATTTAGTAGTGGATAAGTTAATCTGATAAATTATATTATGATATAACACCTGGTGACCGTTTTTTGTTTGGTAAATCGTGTATTTTGGAAATTAAAAAAAATATTAAAAATAAAGAAAGCAATGATCTGGTATAGAAAAAAACCGAGCTATTATAAAATTCTTTTTTGGGCGAAATTTACCGTCATATTTTAATGATATTTTTCATTCCCCGAAAACAGGGATAAAAGGATATTTTCTAAAAATTAAACTTAGCTAGACCAATTTTTCGCCCCCGAATTTTTCGCTTTTGCACGTTAACTATTATCAGATAAACTTTCACCATCATCATCATGATCATTTTAGCGTGTTAGAGTCCACTGCTGAACCAGCCTCCGCCAGAAACTGCCACGAAGCACGATCCTGAGCCACGTGCATCCATCAACTTCCCTTTGAGTCATTTCGACATTTGCACAGGTCGTCACTCCATCTGGTAGGGGGTCGTTCTACACTGCGATGGCCAGTAGGAGGCTGCCACTCCATCCCGTATCGTCCCCATAGGTTATCGGTTCTACGAGCTATATGGCCGGCCCATCTGCCCTTCAACCTTCTAATCTTCTTCGGTTGCGATCTCTATCACACTGAGAAAAACCAAGCATAGCCCGCTAATAAATATTCAATTATTTAAAGTACTTTAAGTTACTTACTATTAAGACAAAAACGAAATGAACTATAATAATGATTATGTGCGTTATAGTTATAGTTGCCGTAGTGTAAGTTAGGGTACACAGTTTCTTCACTTTATATCGCAGAGCGAACATTTCTATGGTAGAGCAAAAACAACTGCTAAATCTTCAGTGTTGCCAGTGTCCTTAGGCAACCTTATTACCACAAGATTAATTGCTTGGTCAGTTGCCGTCCTATTGAAATAAAGAAAACTTTATATGGTGTTTTTGAAAAAAAAATATGTAATGATTAGAAATAATGGGTATAAAATTTTCTCTGCTGCGGGAATTAAACCCACGTATTCCGGTTTCGCGCCCAGAGGCTTTAACCACTGAGCTAAACGGCTGGTCGTCACATCGACAAAAATCTCAACGTATTAAATCTACATTGTTGTTTCGCATTTTAAGCAATGTTTATAATGTAAATATTATCGACTTGTTTTATTATAATACTTGTTTTTCCGGATTAAGACTTGGTTATTTTACTAAAGCCAATAATATTTTAAAAGGGTATGCAAATAGCATAGAACATCCTTTAATGTTAAAATAGGATTATTTGTTTTCTTGTATGTGCCTGGTATCGATCAGAGTTAAACAAATAATGAAAACATCAACCGTGATAGCCGTGATAGGCTCATTGACTGAGTAAGTAGTAAGTAAAGTAACAGCCTATACATGTCCCACTGCTGGGCAAAGGCCTCCTCTATACAGCGGGTATCAGGATATAGTCCACCACGCGACCCCACTGCGGATTGGCGGACTTCACATATCTTCGAAATATATATATATATATATATATATATATTTTTTGTTATTATTTCGAAAATATGCAGGTTTCCTCACGATGTTTTCCTTCACCGCGGAGCACGTGATAAGTCAGCATTTAAAGTTAAAAACTTCATTGGTGCCGGCACCGGGGATCGAACTCAGGTTGCTCGAGTATATTGAATTCAAGGCGAGCGCCCGGACACTGAGCTATCACGGCTCTGACCGACAGAGGGCTCGCTTTTAATTCAATATACTCGAGCAACCCGAGTTAGATTCCTCGAATATATCGAAATTAAAGACGGACTGTCACTGACCATCAAGGCTTTTCCACTGTGAAATTCAATGCATTTTATGTATCCGATAAGTTTATAACTAACATTCACAGAGCGTTCCAAGCAATAGTGCAAGGTTGATAACATAAATGCTACGTACACTACTGATTTGTGCATGTACAAATCCTTAAACGGATTTAGACACAATTTGGTATCAAATCCGCAAATTGCATTTTGAGAAAGATCCCACTTTTGCAAAATAATGTGTGCATTACTCGATTTTTCGTCATTTTTGCTTGGACCTTCGGAAAAAAACGTGCTTAGGCACATTTACATATTATTTCATATAATTCCACGCCATCCAATTATACATAAGTAATGTTCAACGAAACTGCATTGCGATGACTCCGTATTTTTTCTTAATCCAATTTACCAAAATTTTATAAAACGTACTATTGATTTTATGCAATACTTGTATCTTTTTAACTTTTTACTAATTTTTATTGATGATATATATGCGCGCACGGGTATTGTAAGTAACACCTCCCTCGGCGGCATTGTTTGTGTGTAGTAGTGTTTTTTTAGTATTTTGTATTTTCCATCATTAATTAATTGGTTTCGTACCGCACTTGTACTAATTATTTAATAACAATAAAGAGATAATGAGTAATAATGGTGATTGTACGTCATCTGTTCCCCCTCATTTTACATCAGAAGAGGGGACGAGCCAACGCCAACCAATATCGGCCTCATCCGCTTGCGCCGCTACGTCTACTATGGCTTTATTAGCAACTACATTCAAGGATACATGATGATGCAGATGTCGCAAGAAAACCGAGTCACCCTTACGGAAATGATGAGCTTGTTCTGACCTGAACATTCACGGGCCCGCATCTCTGAAATCTACTTCCCCAGCTTCGACCCCGAAAAAGGAATGGGTGTAAAAGAGTGGGTGAATCTTATTTCGGGTACGCAAGAGTAATGCCAATTAAAAAATCATGAAGTACGTCTTAAAGCAGCAAGCGTTTTAAAAAGAAGAGCATCTTGGGTCGATGATTGTTTGCTTCGTACAACTAGGTGGACTGAAATGAAGGAAGATATGTTGCAAACTTTCGAACCGGAACGCAGGTATTTCTCTGAAATATTAAAATTTAGGAGATGCACGGTGG